ATAAAAGCAGACAATATATCATTCTGATGAGCCTTCAAGGATTGAAAATTTTGGGAAGTTGTGGTTCACTGAAAACCAGGATTTAAACAAACTATTTATTTTATTAAACTTTCAGTGTCACAGTTTTGTAATTTTTAATATAGATTAAACATGTTTTATGAATTTCCTATATTCCTTCTCAGAAAGTTATTCTTCAGAATATAACCAATAAAACTGTATAGTATTGTGGTGGTTTGACCTTGGCTAAGTGCCAGGTAACCGCCAAGTCGCTCTATCATTTCCCCCACCCCCACCCCTTCCTTTTTTTCTCAACAGGGCAAAAAGGGAAAAGAAATTAAGATAGGAAAAAATCCCACCCTTATGGGTCAAACAAAAGCAGTTTTAATGTAAGCAAAGCAAAGCAAAGGTCCATGAGCAGAAGCAAAAAGAAAAAGCAAACAGACTTATTCTCTCCTTCCCATGAAGAGGGATGTGGGGCCTTCTCAGGAGCAGGGCTCCCATACCCATAGTGGTTGCCTCCGAGGACCAAGGGTGACCCCACCCCCTTCCTCCTTTCTCCCAGCTTTACACTGAGCAGACGGGACATGGTCTGGAATATCCCTTTGGTCAGTTCGGGGCAGCTGTCCTGGCTGTGTCCCCTCCCAAGATCTTGCCCCCCCGTCCCACTGGGGGAAATGTCGGGAAGAGCCTTGGTGCTGTGTAAGCGCTGCTCAGCAGCGGCCACAACCCCAGGGTGCTGCCAACACCCTGCCAGCTCCCAGCATAAACCACAGCGCCAGGAGGGCTGCTGTAGGGGAAAAACAATTCCGGCTCAGCCAGACCCAGTACAAGTATATAACTCATACTTTAACAGTTGTGCCAATTTCAAATGAGTTCACTAGAGACACTTTTCAGGATATAAAATCTACATGTTATTCACCAGCATTCGTAGCTTCCTGTCTAGCACAAAACCTTGTTTCCTCTTCATTCTCTGATAGTCGAGGGTAGTTGTGTTGCCAGACACAGAAGTATGCAACACACTAACTCTTGTGGCACACAAAGCCAGATTGCAACATCTCAGGTACTGCTCTTAGATTATGTTCCATAACGTCCCAACAGCCAGGGGGAACCACACAGATTGAAATTAATCTGTGATAATGTGCTATTCAAATCTTGTATTTGAAATGTCAATTTGCAGATTGCATCTTTGTATGATTTGAACTTCTGTACTGGAAAAGAAAAGATCCAGGGGATTATGATCAACATGTGAAAATATATAATGGGAGGGCTCAAGGACAAGAGAGCCAGGCTTGTCTCAGTGACGCCCAGTGAAAGAAAAAAACGAACGGAGACAAACTGAAATACAGGAAATTCTTTTCAAACACAAGGGAAAAAGGCTAGCTTTTTTCTTTTTCTCTCTTTTTTTTTTTTTTTTTTTTTTTTTTTTTTTTTTTCTTCTTTGAGGGTGGTCAAACACTGGAATATGTTGTCCAGAGAGTTTGTGGAGTCTCTGACATCTGATATATTAAATATATGACTGGACATAGCCCTGAGCAACCTGTGTAGCTGATCCTTGAGCACGTGTTTGGACTAGACAATCTCCAGAGGTCACTTCCTACCTCAGATATTTATTCATTCTGTGACGACTTTTATTTCCCTCTAGAGATAGGAAATGTAGTATTTTAATTAAACTGTAGAAAAGCCTCACCCATTTGTAAAAAAGGATCCAGATTCTGCAAAATGAACTGTAAATATTATGCATATTCTTTATCTATGTTTTCTTTCCCAAGTCCTAAGTCACTGCAAAAAGCATGTTATCTCATTTTCTTAGTGTTCATGTTGTAAATACAGGTTTTAAATTACATCTGGGTAGAAAATAATAGCTTTGTTTCTGAATATGGCACTAGACATTATTAAAGGGTTTTTCAAGGAAATGTTTTTCATGGATTTTCATGAGGAACAAATGAGATGTCAGAGGTTGAAACTTTACATAGTGTATTGGTTACATTTCAATACTTTCTATTATTTACAGACTAGAATCCAGATTGACTCATCAAAATTACAGAGGATTTAGCTTTTTTCACATATGGAAAAATTGTTCTCCTGTGTTTTTTTTTGTCTTTTGTCACTGTGTAAAAAATTCTAATGACTTTTTGAATGACTGGTTTTGAGAATTTTCTTCCATCTTTAGCAAGATTGATTTTCATAATAAACTTAGTAGAAAGGTAAATTATCTGCATATTTGGCAAACATCACAGACTTGTTTAAGAAATACTTCTGCTTATGTATGACATGTTCTTAGATATTTCAGAAGTTTGTGAGCTTTGCAAGTGCTGGTTCTTAGACTCCTCAGGATTTCTTGATCTCTGCATGGGGAAGTATGCAGAGAGATGATATTAAAACCTCAATGTCTACTGCAGTCTAAGACCAGCCTCTCAATGTAGGTCCTAGTTCTCTCTTTCAGCTAATGCCTAACTTCCTCAGTCCTAACTCTCAGATATGTCCTGCCAGCCTTACTTCTTATCTCCATGCTTTTATCTTCAATTTACGTTGGAAAATTAATTACTACATTTTTAATATTCTAGTTAATTGTATTAGGTTTGTAATAATGAATAATATTATTTGAAGGGAAACAAAACAACAGAAACTCTGCAGTAGACAGCAGAACTAAGTCTAAAGTGTTTATAAATATTTTTAGTGACTTGGGAAGATCTACATTTTGAAATTTGCAGTAAATTTTAGAATGATAGCTAATAACAAATATGACAGTTCACTAGTACTGAATGAAAAAAAGTTCTAATTAGAAGTGTATGTTCCAACATGGTAGATGTGAAGTCATGCATCTATTGTTCACTTAATTTTGCTTCTTTCCAGTAAATATGGAAATCCAATGTTGAAGATGTAAGAATTACATAATGCTCTACAAGAATTTATTTTTATCCAGAATTATAGCTTCTAATATTCTTATTTCTAAACTTCAATTTCCTGGTAATATTTTTGTCTTGGAAACAATGAACACTTTCTAATGTTGATTGTCAGGCGGTCCTAATATTTTAGAATTCTATAATCTCATGCTGAGTGAAGGGTGTTTTTTTGTTTTGTTTGGGTTTTTTTGTGTTGTTTTTGGTTTGTGTTTTTTTTTTTTTTTTTTTTTTTTTTTTTTTTTTTTTTTTTTTTAAGGCTAATGAATTGCCTTACATCTTGCTTTACAGCTGAAGAATTATGCTGATAACAAATCTTAATGACATACGCTTTATGCATACTTAGTAATATTGAAGGTTAACTTATTTCAGGCCTTGTTTACTACAAAATACCCCGCACTGTAATACAGTAATAATACATTTTTTAGAAATCACCCTTTTTGGCTAGATTCCAAGCTCTGAAAATTAAGGATACAGAATAAACATGTTGCAGTAATGATAGAAACTATATGCCTACTACATAGGTGAATACTGGTGAGGCTGGACCTTGATTCCTGTGTTCAGTTTTGGGCCCCTCACTACAAAAAGGACATCGAATGACGCGAGTGTGTCCAGAGAAGGGTAACAAAGCTGGTGCAGGGTCTGGAGCACAGGTCGTACAAGGAGCAGCTGAGGGAACTGGGGGTGTTTAGTCTGGAGAAGAGGAGGCTGAGGGGAGACCTCATCGCCCTCTACAGCTCCCTGAAAGGAGGGTGCAGAGAGCTGGGGATGAGTCTCTTGAACCAAGCAATAAGCAATAGGACAAGAGGTAATGGCCTCAATTTGCACCAGGGAAGGTTTAGACTGGATATTAGGAAGCATTTATTTCCAGAAGGGGTTGTTAGGTGTTGGAATGAGCTGCCCAGGGAGGTGGTGGAGTCCCCATCCCTGGAGGTGTTTAAGAATCGTGCTGACATAGCGCTTAGGTATATAGTGTAGTTGGGAACTGACAATATTAAGTTAATGGTTGGACTAGATTGTAGTGGCCAAAATAAGGAGTTAGAGTGTTATTTTTTTCTGCACGGCAGGGGCCATCTTTTTTTATTGTCTGTCTTTTCTTACAATAGTACATACTTAGGGTCTCATTAAAGCTCTTTATAATCGGCAAATCAGCAATTAGACAGCTATCTACCTTTTCTCCTATCAGCATAAGACCTCTCTAACACACACTGTGCAGACCAATCAACCTCGTGTTCATGTGCTATTCATGTAGCGGCAACTTCTCACAGTTCAGTGTTGCAGCTGTCCATTGTTTTTCTGCTACCTTGGCACAACTCAGCAGTTTCTTATCTTTCTCCCAAAACCTGTTTCTCATCAAAGCCTAACTGCTTCTAATGGGCTTCACAGAACTGACAGGCCAATATCAACTTGTATCTCTCCCACAGTAGATGATCTTTAAGTTGTTTTCCAACCTAGATGATTGTGATCCATATAAGAAAAGTATTCTAAAAATTACTACAGCATTCTTGTCAGCCTTGTGAAAAGTACAGCACAATAACTGTGTACTGATTCAATGGCTTTAGAGTCACCAATCCAAGTTTTAATTGATCTTTGCCTTCTCTCACAAACTATGACTGTTGGGGTTGGTGGTGGGTTTTTTTGGTTTTTGTTTTGTTTTGGTTTGGGTTTTTTTTGGGGGGGAAGGGAGGGTTGTGCTTTTTTCCCAGATATTTATTTCCCAGGACACACTTAAGAACAAACAAAAACACTTAAGAAACACATTTTGAACAGATATTCTCTTTTCGTGTATATGTATATATACCAGCACAGGCAGAATATTTGAGAAGTCATACACTTTTTACAACATGAGGTTTAAGTGTTCATTCATAGGTTTGTATAGCCTTGCTAATAAAATTTTTTTAAGGAAAAAAGTTGAGAAGAACATGAAAGTAGCACAGGAACAAGCAGTATGCCATTTAGAGTAAAGAGTAATTTAAATGCTTTCACATGATCTTTTTCTGCTCTAGATTTCAGAGCATTTCAAAGAGACAGTTGCTATTTTACACATAGAGAAAAGTGTTACCGAGAAATGACCTGCTAAAAGGACATAATAAATAATATTCAAAAATCAGGTTTCTTATCTTAGACTAAATTTTGTTGTAGTGTTATCTGAAATAGGAATTGATAAAGAGTTTTCTAAGCAGCACTACCAGGAGACTTATTGCCTCAGAAAGACAGAACATACTTATCCATCTATACTTTTTTGAGAATGTATAAATGACAGGGAAGGATGAGTCTCGTTTTAGAGCATTATAATATCAAAGCAATCAGGGAACAGATAATTTGAAATCAAGGAGTGTACCAAGGTATGACAACATGCCTCATTAGGCCCTGAGCTTATGTTTTTAGGTTTTGCTTGTGAAGAGTGGATGAAATATGACTCTAAATCAGTGTTGAATATGTGGAACAGGCGCACAACATGACAAAATCTACTCACTTGCATGCAGCCCGTGTTTAGTGAAGAATTACGTTGGAATACTTTTTCCATTTTAAGGTTTACCTTTCTTGCAGAGTCACGTCATTGTACGGTGTTATACAGTGCTAGCACAGAAACTAGATGTGGATGATAAAAATAAGTTATTTTGCATGTCTTACTTTTAAATTGACACCTTGCAGCATAAAATGGTACATAAGAACTAAATGATACATCTCTACATAAAAAGTAGAATGAATGAAGTCTCACAGTCAGATTAAAGGCTTATTTACTCATTTAATCTCTCTCTGACCGTGGCCAGAGAAGAAAGTTTAGGGAAAGTGTGTAAGAAATTAGTCAGGTACAGACAATAATTTCCAACCTTACAACTTTCTCAAATGATAGAGGTCAACATATAGAAAACATCAATGTGTTCGTGAACAAACTACGGAGGAGATTCAGAGATAAATAAAATTAAAGCTATATTAGCTTCATATTTGGTAAATTAATATATTTAACAAAGACGAGTTGAAATAAATATAAAAGAGACAGTGTTGGTCTATCTTGAAAACAGTGAAATTTCTGCAATTAATATTGTAATAAATAATTATGTGAAAGTATCTCAGAAATTAATTATTCTCACTATATTGTATTATAAAGGAATAAACCAATGCAATAAATTCTTTAATATAAATCCACATCTAAAGATATTCTGATTTAGTGCTGGAATGACAAATTCAGTCTTTCCCTACAAAATCTGTTTTAAAGGGGAAATGCAAACAAATGTGTGTCAGCTGGCAGTACATAAATTTAAAAATAAAATCTTGCATCAGCCTAAAAAATCTCTCTAATCAGAAATGCTTACACTGAAGAATACTAGAGATTCAATTAAATACTTAATTTATGAACTAGAATTACTAATACCAGTTAATATATACAATTTAATGTATTTATTTTAGGACTAGAAAATATAGAATTGAAACTTTAATGATCAACTCAAATTCAAGTGCCTTTTAAAAAAACCCAACTAATTACTAGTATTAATTACATATATTTAGGAAGGTTTCTGGCAAAAATTCTTACAACCTAAAGTTATTCCAATAACCTGATGTTAAAGGATAGAAAAATTTATTGCATTACAGTCTTGCTCTCATTAAGGTTATGGTTGTGGGTTTTTTTTTTGTTTTGTTTTGTTTTGTTTGTTTGTTTTTTTTTTTTTTTAAACCACAGAATTTGATGCCATGTGAACAGGCAAACCCAAATAATTTTATACTGACAGTTTTCTCACTTTGGCTAGTATATTCTTTATTTAATTAATATCACTGAGAGTGTTGGAGTCAACAGTGGGAGGAGTTTATCACCCACGGAAGAAAGGACTACAAAATCCATATCACAAACATTAGAAGTTACAACATGAATTTAATGTGTCTGGATTTAGAGTTTTGGTGAGCAAGAATGACGGTTGATTTGGAAATTTTTTGTCAAATATCTATTTTTGTTACAGGAATGCTTACAGAGGTCATGACAGATTAAATATACACCTATATTATTATTTAAATAAAATATATAGTGCAGAATATTAAAAAGTTACAAATGAACTAGCATTCTCCTAAAATACCTGAAAATTCTGTATCGATTAAAAAAGACATTAATATTGGCTGACACCAGTGTCAGAAATAGAGTTACCTGATTCTGAAGTATATTAAGCGATAAAGAACAACACTATGGGCTGAATAACATGCATCTTCATAATTAATATTATTCAGTTTTCCACCACACATTTTTACCCAAAACAGTGATAAACATTGATTTGATTTTACTAAAATTGTGCTTAATTTCAGTCCTCACATTCTAAATGGCCTAATTTATTTTTGTCTTCTTTTTTATCTATGTAACTCTTGGTATTTGTTTTGACATACCTTGCAAGGACTAAATCAGTTTGCCATTTGGTGGTATTTATTTTATCTATATTTATTGACATGGGATCTGGTTTTGGCCAGGATAGAATTAACTTTTATTGGGCTGAGAAGGATAGACGACTGGGTCTGGATCAATCATTGGAGCATTCCATGTCATGTGACATCAATCTCTGTCTATAGGCAGACACATGCTCTCACACCCCGTTTCTGTTTCCGGGTCAGCATGGTGGGATTTTCTGGTGTGGTTGCATGGCTGCTGGGCAGGGGCAAGCTGTGTACCTGTCACTGCGTTCAGTAAGCCATTGCTGAGTTTTTACCCGTTTTCAACTTACTGTTGTTACTGTTGTTTTTGTTTCTATTACTATTTTTTTTTAATTCAACCTATGAATGTCTTCTTTTGTCCCTCCTCCCCTATTTCACTGGATGGGGGGGAGCATGGTGGGAATTAAACGACTGGCCACGTGGTGATTGGCTACCGGCTGAGTTCAAACCACAAAAACCTGTCAGACATAGCTTTCTTCATGTACCAGCTTCTTTATGCATTAGATGTTTTGTTTACAGTTTTTTTCCACCATGTTTGGAATAGATGTTACTACTCTGGTTTAAAGAAACTTCAAATTCCTCCTAAATCTCAATTTAATTCCCTCAGTTCCTCAAAATTTGCCCTTTTGAAATACAGATCTATTTGTTTTCCTTATCACAAGATCACCCAGACCAAAGGCCTTTTCCTCAATCTCTTTTCTTGCCAAATCTACATAAATCTTAATCAATTGTTGACAAAATGATGGAGAATCAAGGCAATTATTAAATATAAAAATATCTGACCCATATTATTGTTAATGTAATTTACTCTCTACTCCAAAATAACACACTTATCTATAATATTTATTTGTTTTTCCTGTAAATCCATCCCATAAGAGCTGCAAAGGACTATCAGAGATACCCCCAAAAAACCTGTTCTGACTTCCTGACTGTATTGGATCAGGATGGGATGGAGTTAACTTTCCCCATAGCAGCCCTCATAGTGCTGTGCTTTGTATTTGTAGTTAGAAAGGTGTTGATAAGACACCAGTGTTTTGGCTATTGCTGAGCAGTGCTTGCATAGCATCAGGGCTCTCTCTCCAACCTCACTCCCCTCCGAAGGTCAGTAGGCTGGGGAGGGCAAGAGGCTGGGAGTAGACATAGAACACCTTACCGAAGATGATCAAAGAGATATTCTATACCATATGAAATTGTGGTGAGAAAACAAAAAACAAACAAACAAACAAAAAACAACCACAACAAAAAAAAACACCAAAAACTAAGATAAAGGAGAACACAGGGAAGCAATCGTTATTAAGGAATTTCTCTTCTGGAAGAAACCACTATGCTTCCAGAGACAGTACTGACACAGGAAGTGGCTGGACATCACCTATTGATGGAAAGTAGAGAATAAATCTTTTGTTTTCCTTTGATTCCATGTGTGGCCTTTGCTTTTTCTTTATTAAACTGCCTTTATCTCCACTCATGAAAGTTTTATTCACCTTATTTTCTTCCTCCCTGTCCTACTGAGGAGGGGGAGTGACAGAGGAGTTTAGTGGTCACCTGGAGGCCAATTAAGGTCAGCACTGACTCAAACTATCCTGATTCAAATTTATTCTGTTTTATCTATGTTATCTATTCATATTTAATTACAGATAACAACATACTGCTCTGCTTACTTATGTCTGTCTTTCTGGACACAACATATACTTTATTATTGTTTTCTAGGCATGATGTTTTGTTAATTGTGATGTTCATGTTTCTGTTACCCTGCCATGACTGATTGCTTCAACCTCCTCCATTTTGTCGTACTGCATATTCATAATTTATGACATGATTTTATGAGTTGTTCTTCTCCCAGTAGTCCATTTCTTAGCTTGATTTGGTATAGATTTTTACCTGTTATTATCTTACTTCAACTGCCTAATATTAATATTTTCTCCATTTTTTTGTTAATCATTTTCTCTTCTGTAAGTAAAAGCAAATCCATTCTGCTGAAGCTGTTTCCCCTTTTATTTAAAATAGATAAATATTCATTACTCTGGGGAGTCCTGGGGTCATTTCTGGTTTTGTTCACTGATTATTAATATAAAATTCATGAACAGATTTGACAGCGAGACTGACTCCAGATTATTTCAGAACTGCAGGTAAGTAGATGCTGAAGATCTCAGTAATATTTAAAAGCTGTAATAAGAAACTGAAATTCAGAATTGGTTACTGTTTCACAGAAAACAGTGGAATTAAGGAATATATACCCTGTGCAAAATATCATGAAGCATCTAAAAAATTAAAAAATGTGTAGCTTTAATCTAAGGAAAATTATTATCCTACTCTTGTATAAGTTTTTGCTTTACACTATCCAAGGTTATTGACTCACTAGGTAAAATAAATGGTAAATAACAATAGTTTGTTCTATATTTATAATTTATTTTAAATGTATATTAGCTACATAATAATTATGAAATTTAATAAATAAATAATCATTAACTACTAAAATAAGTAATAACTTGAACATTAAAAATACACAGATGATCTATAGATATACTATATGGCTGATTAGGCTCCTTATTCATGGAAAAATAAGTATAACAATAAAATATGATACTGTTGAAGTGAAAGAAATTGACAGTTTATATTATCACAGAGATGGCAATACACAATACCATAAAGAGAAAATTATTACAGTACTTAATCTGTGGTGGATCCATCTTTGAACAGCAACCAGCTGATAGAGTTTATCCATTCAGATTTTTCTCTTATTCTAGAGATCAACTTGTTATCTCCAATTTAGCTACTCCATTCTTCACCTAGATATTACTTTATTGTGCCTTTTGAACACTGCAATTACGGTATAACTAAAGATGAAAGGAAACCTATTTGTCAAAACCTTTAATAATGAATGTTTTTGTATTAAAATCTATTTATGGAGAACTAAAGGGAAAAGGAAAGGAAAACCTGTGTTGAAATGGGGTTAAACACTGAAAGCTATCACTTACCAACTTTTCTCTGGAGAACCTCAATTTGCAGATAAATATTTGCCTGACTGTGACATGTATAGTCTACTACGGTACTGCCAGGAAAATAATCTTTCAAGATTTTTTCAATTTCAGTCAAAGTAAATATGCAGTTCATCTGTATTTATGACTCACTTTAATATGTTTTTTGTGTAAAGTGAAATTAATTTAGATAAAATATTTTTCACACTGTTTAACATAATTTTTAAAAATATATACATTGCATTTATCTTACAGTTTAAAAGGGCTCTTAGTGATCACCCACTGAAGTCAATCACTGAAGTCACCGACTTCAATAGGACTGGAGCACAATTTCTTTGCTTAGAGAATTTTGTATAGCAAGTGTCATTTGTTGGTCAAGCACATAGGATAATATACACATGCAATAATTTCACTGTGTCTGGAAACTTCTGCATTGCATGCAGCCTGGTATCAATGACAGAAACAGAGAGTGGTTTGAGTTGGAAGGGACCTTAAAGATCATCTACATCCAACCCACCTGCCATGGGCAGGGACACCTTCCACTAGACCAGGTTACTTAAAGCCCCACTTTGAGCACTGAACACTTCCAGGGAGGGGCCATCCACAACTTCTCTGTGCAACAAGTTCCAGTGTCTCACCACCCTCACAGTAAAGAATTTATTCCTTACATCTAATCAAAATCTACCCTCTTTCAGTTTAAAACGGTTAATCCTTGTCTGATTGCTACACTCCCTGATAAAGAGTCCACCCCTGTCTTTCCTGTAGGCTTCCTTTAAGTAATGGAAGGCTGCTATAAGGTCTCCCCAGAGCTTTCTCTTCTCTAGAGTGAACAACTCCAACTCTCTCACCATGTCCTCATAGGAAGATGCTTTGGCCCCCTGATCATCTTTGTGACCTCCTCTGGACCTGCTCAACCAGGTCTATGTCTTCCCCACACTGAGGGTCCCAGTACTATAAGTGGGGTCTCACCAGAGCATAGTAGAGGGGGAGGATCACCTCCCTTGACCTGCTGGTCATAATTCTCTTTATGCAGCCCAGGATACATTTGGTTTTCTGCGCTGTGAGCACACATTGTTGGCTCATATTCAGTTTTCCAGCCATTAATATCCCCAGGTCCTTCTCTGCAGGGCTGCTCTCAATCCACTCATGGCCCAGACTGGGTTTGTACTTAGGATTGCTTCAACCCATGAGCAGGACCTTGTACTTGGCCTTGTTGAATTTCATGAGGTTTGCCTGGGCTCACCTGTCAAGGTCCCTCTGGATGGCATCCTTTCCGTCTGGGGCGTTGACCCCATCACACTGCCAACTTGCTGAGGGTGCACTCAATCCCACTGTATGTTGTTAACAAAGATGCTTAACAGTGCTAGTCCCAATATCAACCCCTGAGGAACACCACTCATCATTGCTCTCCACTTGGACATAGAGCCATTGACCATAATATATTTTGTGTGACCATCCAGTCAATTAGTTATCCACCGAGTGGTCCATCCATCAAATCCTTGTCTCTCCATTTTAGAGAGAAGGATGTTGTGTGGGTGGGTGTCAAACACTTTGCACAAATTCAGGTAGATGACATCACATCAGGGTAGAGTCTTGGACTAAGCCAGTACATATCTTGAGAAAGCACACATCATTCCTAAATGCTCTCAAACTTAACATGCAAACCTACAGAAAAATACATAAGACCTGACAAATATAAATCAACAAATGTTAAGACTCAGTAACTTTAGATTATTGGTAGTATTTTACATTAAAGCAGATGCCACTCCAGTCTAACTAATGACAGTCACTATAAACAAAAACAAAACAAAAAAAACCACAGGATTTTTTTTTTTTTGAGTATTTGGCATGGATTTTTCCTTTTTTTTTTTTTTTTTTTTTAATAGAAAATAAACTTTTCCTGTGTTTTATTATGCATGCTATATTTAATATAAATATTTTACTTATAGTTTATTTTCCTGGTGTCTTCAGGAAAAGGAAATAAATGTCATTTCTATGATATTAAAATTTGCCTTACCTGTAAAAATCTCAAATTGCCTTTCATTGGGTTAGTAGGCATTCTATGAATCTTCTAATTGCCTATTTTTGTTAACTGTTTTGCTCTCACACATGAGATTCACCAGTGATAAATTTACATAGCTGTGATGTACTTAGACTGAAAAGGGTATGATACAAATGTTACACTAAATCTGATTATTTTTGTTTACTCACCATTGAAAGTTCATATTTAGACATCAGATTTTACACATTTTCTTCACAATTTAAATGTATATATACTTGATATTTTGTGTTCAAATTCACTGTCATAAGGAACTTCAAAGACATTTTATAAAATGTTCAAGTATAACCTTAGATATCACACCATTGTTTGGGATGGAAAGAATTATTGTATCAGCTATCTCTTACCTTATTACTTTTCACACTATATCAGACCTTTGCAATCTGGGGTGATATACTTGTACATTTTAGGTTGAAATATTTTAAAAGTCTACTGATTAAAACCCAAACCAAAATATTTAGACTGTTTGTGTACATTTCCAGCAAATAATCAGACAGGTGAATGTCAAGGGTAATGAATCCCAGCAGCGCAGTCCCTTAAGGACAGTGAAAACCTCCTGTCACATGTACTACTCACGGTTTTGAACAAGTGACTGAAGATATCAATATTTAACATAAAAATCATAATTTATTTATGAAGTTTCATAAGGGGGAACCACAGTTTATAGGTAAACAGAAAGAGAATGTTCTAGCCTTCTGCTCTCTAACATTAGTTATGAATTGTTAGTTTCATAATGGCATTATTTGAGTAGGTGGAAACTTGTAAATAAAATAAAGAAGATATGCTTTTCTTCTTCACAGTTTAAAATATTACTCAATTATTAATTAATGAAAAGAACAATTCCAGGCTCTTTCTCTGTATTTCAGTCCATTCTGCTTCAGACAACACATTCCTCAAACAGATATGCAATTTTTTATCATATTAGCTTCCTTCAAATATATGATTAATTTTGTCATTTATAAGGAATAATGATTAGTGTTAAAGATAATTTGCACTTAATATCTCTATATTATTGCTCTCTATCATAAAAGAAAGACAGTAATTTTTAAAAGTAGGTTCATAAAATAATGATTCGGGAACTTTTCCTTTTTGCTATAATTTGGCAACTATACATATTTGGTTTTATGCCCCTTTACAGATAATGTCCTAAAACATTACACTAGAAAATCCAAAATTGTATCTAAAGAGAAAATCTAACAACATATGGTTTATGTTTTCATAAGTAATAGAAAAGTAAAACTTGCGTATTAAAAGTACAAATATTCTAAAATGTCTCTAAAAATGTACACAAGTGTAGTACTGGAAATATTCACCTTGCAGACCTGTGGCTTACTGTGACAAGGGTATTCTCCTGCAATAGAAAACAGTAAAATAACTTCAATTCTTTTAGAACTCCAGAGATAGATTAAGCCTCACAGTGTCTCCACTCTTGGCAGCAGAGTGGCAAAAAATTTTTAAAGAGAAGCCTGGAAGACATGTCCCTGTGTGTGGGCAGCCATGCCACTGCCCCAGGTGGGGTGAGCTATAGGCTGGTGACACACAGGAGAGGGATTTCTCCATTCCTACACAAGCACACTAATTCTTAGCTCAAATCCTCTCATGCAGTCTTTATTTGTTTGTTTGACTGTTTGTTTTTTTTTTTAAGGAAATGAACTGTACCAACTATTCAATTTCTGTGGACTATTTAAGCAACAAAATCCCAAAGAGGGTTTTGTACTTGGAGATATTATCTCAAGGGCCCTATTTGGAGCTACAAGTAGGCAAGCACTTACCTTTGGGAAACAAATGCTTTCTTTGTCCCTTCCTTTTTGGTTAGCTCAAAGAGAGCTACTGCCTACTTAACCAGTCACAAAGGACTTGGGAAATACTTTGTCTGTGACATCAAAATACTTTCATCTATCATATGACAACTCAGTAATTTATTCTGGACATGAGATATACAGTAATATGAATTCCTTTTGGGAGAAAGGAGAACTTGGATTGGGATATGCTGAGCATCTCCTTGTTTTGATTTCTGTCCCAAGCTATTAAGGGAAGATAACAGCAGTCAGGCTCTCACTTCTGAGAAATAAGAGCATACTTGTATCTCTTTTAACTGGAAACTTCAAAGTATGAACATGTGAAAACTCTTCTGTCTCTATGGCTAAAATCACATACTACTTTAAAAATAATATATATCTTGAAATACGACTATTTTACTGAAGGATTAACTTCTAAGTTTAAAACTGGAATAAGTCTTTTAAATATAATTTTGTAGTTGAAATGCCTCTACACTCCATGCAGTGTTAACTAAAGTATGTTCAACACTCTTTTAAGATATTGCTCAGTTAAAAGATCTACCACTTTCCTTAAAAAATGTTATATGTCCAGTTATTCCTATTCATGAGGCATCCAATTCAGTTTCAGAAATTATATTCATATTTACATAATCTGAAATAAGAAGGTTTACTGGCTCATGTAGCAAGGTATTAGCAGCAGGGGGCTTCAGAGGTGACCTCTGCGAGGAGGGCCGGGCTGCCTCATGCTGGACACAGCCAGTTCCAGACAATTCCAACAGACTCACTGAAGGACACAGCTGAACCCATCAGTCAAACTGGTGGCACCTCCGTGAAAACATGTTTAAGAAAGCACAAACAATGCTGGACAGGCTGAAGTAGATGGAACAGAAAGTGAGAAACAGCATAGGGAACATCATGGTCCAAGAAAGAGGGGGAGGAGGTGTTTCAGACACCAGAGCGGGTATTCTCCCTGCAGCCCTACCAAGTTTTTGATAATCCCAACAGGCCCATCATATATCCCGTAAACGTGTATCATTCCCATGAGTACCATGGTAATCTTGTTTCCCCTTTCCTATAATTTGCAAAGTTATGGTTGAGCTTCTTCAAGGTGACACTTGGGTAACTCTTTCAGTAGCCCATCCATCGGTGGCCTGAGAGTTCTCATCTTTGTAACAATTCCCTGTTATCTCCTGATTTTTAGGGTTTATGTATTTACTTATTTTCCCATCTCCTTTTTCTGTTTACGAGTAAGCTACTCATCAAATACCCTCACAAAACAGCTATCCTTACATTTCAGGTATTCATGTATCCTTTAATTTCCACACATCTTTACAAAGCTGACCCCATGACTTTAATCTTACCAGTGCAAAATGACTAGGAGAAATAAAGTGATAGCACATATAAAATAAACACACAGTGAACATGAAGTACTATAATGAACTAGAAAAACTGGTTAAATTGAAACTGTATAAAGGCTGTTCTCTAGGTTCATAGATGAAACATTTTTTCCACTTATTTTAGTT